ACTTTTACATTTGGCATTTCTCCTCTCTTTCGCAAAAACAATCGATAAAACTAGGATGGACACCGAAAAGATATCGGTTAAATCTGAGATTATTTTATAATTACAGATTAACAAGGGAGGAATTTTATATGGCTAATCTCTTGTTATAATTACAGATTAGGGTGTTAAGCTCGAAAATGAGGATAATCTACTTATATGTGAACCTAGTATAAGGGTCGTTTTCACCATCTCTGGTTATCACTAATACCCAGTTAAACACCGTTACCGACGTTACAGACTCCATGCATATAACATTGTGTTGATAACGTCGGTAACGATATTTAACTGGAGATTAGTGTTAACCAGAGATGGTTAAAACGGCCCTTAGTAAAGATCAGATCCGTTTGGTAACGCTTACGCTGCCCGCACACTGCAGCCGGCATCGGGCGAATTGTGATCGGCGGATGTCGGCTATATGCGGGCGACGTGAATAAGCACTTGTATTTATATGAGCGCTCTCACACATAAACCGATAACCGAACCGACATCGGCCGTTGACATCCGTCAGTGACGATAAATTCAAACATGTTTGTTTTTATCGTCCGATGTCAAAATAAACTAATTGGGAGCAAAACAGAAAAATTACCATAAGGTTAAATTGTTAGAGTATGTCAATTAAAATTTATCAAAATATTTCATTGCTTGCAAAATTTAAATGTAAACCAGATTTGTGCGTACAAATGCTGTCGGCAAATAATCTGGTTAAGAGTGCGCACCAGTTCTGGCGGTCAACTTGTTCGGCCGAACTCGGTCGGCCTATCGGATCCAGTGTACGCCTAGCCTACATGTCCGAAGTAGAGATGCAGTTTTTAAATCGAAGATCGATTAATGGAGCCCTTCCGACTCGATTTTTCGTCGATTTTTTTATTTCGATTCGATCGCGTGTCGATCCAAAAAATACGAGTGTCGACATTCGATTTTTTCTCAATTGTATTAGAAAATCTAGAAAACTTTAAGGAAATTTGAATTTAAGCCTGGTACAAAAAAATTAAGTTAGCCTTTTGAATATATGGGAAAAATCATTGATTTTGCTGATAAAATTCAACGAATATTAAAAATACAACAACTAAATAGTATTTTTTTGCTTGAAACTGGTTAGGCATTACATCAATTTCAATTTATTTTGATATCGTATTTGGCAAGATATATGAATCGATTGTAAGATATCGATTTATTTTTTGACGATTTCTTCATGCATCGATTATTTTCATTTCGATTCGAAACGGTTCAAAATTCGATTTCATTTATTTCGATCTGGCATCTCTACTCCGAAGTCGATTAAGAAGTTTCACATCAAACATTTCTTTTGTTTCCATTCGTAACGTTTCTCACTCCTTATTTTATGCCGCAAATATATTTCTTGTCAACTCCGAAATGATCCAGTTTATTTTTTCCAGATTCGCTATAGATATTCTATAATGTTAAAGTCTCGTGACTGGTTAGTCCAATGCAGTAACTTTACTCCCACTATATAAACTCTTCTTATTGGGCGCTTGAACCGCCTAAACGATTTTGGCCGAGTTCAACCAAGCACGCCAGTCATTTCTCTTCTGTACCAACTGACGTCCATTGGAAATGCCAAGTGAAACCAAGTCCTCCTAATTTTTAATAGTGTTTTTTTATTCAGTACTTAGATTAAAAAATTGGAACTTTGTATTTAAGAAAGAGTAAGTTTGCTGCCTTTTCCGGTTACAGCCTGTTTCCTAACGGGTCGTAAATAAAACCTGTGCACTAAGTAACTACTCCCTCGAGGCGACAAACTTGAAAAACTTGAAAATTGAAAAAATTTTAAATTCTCTTCAATTGACGCTGCACCAGTTGAGAGGACTTTCAGTTATATTTATTTTTTTATTGCGGTGCAATAATTCCTTTTTGATAATTGCATCGGGGCTGCAAGTGTCGGATGTATCCTCCTGACTTTCATCTTCACAATATAGCATCATGGCAGGATCGTTGTTTAAACACCGTTGTTTTCCAATTTGGAGAACCAATTCTTTTGTTTGTTTCAGAATTTGGAGAACCTGTTACGTCATTAGCGTTTTTCGATTTTAGTTTTTGTAATCCATTTTTAATCCTGTCTTCTGTGACTGGTTTGAAAAATTTGTGCTTATTGCGACGTTGTGAATAGGTGGATATGGCAAATAAATTGTTATTTTCTAGGGATGAAAATTTCGAAGAAAATTCTGTTTTGAAAATCGTGGCTGCAAGCAGAATTAGTTTAAAATCATGTTATTTTGTTAAAAAGGTACCCCGCTTTTTATAATAATTTGATTTATTGGAATCACGACCACTAATGAATAGCTTGTATATAGTTTTTTTTTTTATTAGTTAGTTAAGCTCGGCTTTTCCTAGTTGCAGGCAGTCACAATTAATTACTCAGCGCTGTCGGTACCATAACCCATCAAATTCCTTTTGTTGTTCTATTCCATGCCCTCAATGTGTTTAGATATATTTTTTGAGGCGAATGAACGCAAATTTTCAAGATATCGTTAATACTATTTTAAAAGGGCGTATTTCACATTGTCGCTGAAATACAAAAAACCACAACTGACTAAATTTTTTTATTGCCTAAAACGATGTGGGGACTTATGATTCGATGAAATGCATCATAATCAACCAAAAAGTGAATTTTGAATTTATAGGTAGTTAAGCCCTTTCCATACTATACTAACGATATATTGTATGCCAAGTCCCACTCCTCAATAGATATACAATTCACCTTGAATTAATTCTTATTTAATTTGTGAACTTGGCTGTCAACTTATTTAGTACATATCATTTCATCTTTATTTCGATGCGTGCTAATTTTGGAAATTTACACAAAATTAAAATGTTTTTGTTTCTGAGCTGAAAGACTAATAAAAGGGAACACGGAACTTAAGCATACTAAGTTTTATGAGAAAAAAAATTACACTTTTCTAAGGAAAAGTAGAAAAAACTAGCGATTAACGTAGCATCTCCACAGGCAAAAAATGTTGGCTACAATTTTTTGTTTGCCAGATATACGTTTTATCAGTGCACTTGCACAATATTCGCATTCGCAAAAGCTCCGCATCGATTATTGCGAATGCGAAAGCGAATGCGAATGTTAAAATTTATGCGGAAGTCCCGCGGTTGCGAATGCGAATATTCGCAACAACCCTGATCTCCACTAATGCACCTCACCGTTTCTTAGCGGTAGATATTCTGTCTGACGCTATTAAACGCCTAATATTTCGTTCTTCTACCTCGGATATTTTCTTTGAAATCGGCATGTTATTAGTGTCTCGAATAATACGGCTTAAAGTCGATTGGCTCACATGCGTTATTTTCGCTATTTCACTGCATCAAAGTCCCGTCAATGCTTTTTCAGTAATATTTGTTTATATATTTCAAAACGCTTCTCATGGTATTTTAATAACATAAAACCAACTGACTTACTAATTTATAACAAAAGCCGACACTTCGACGGATGAAAACAGGTTGCAGCGTGGCAATATCTCTTATACATAAATTAACAAAATAAAAATGTGTATTACATAGAAGCGTGGCAACCCTGATGGAAAATGTTTTCTGACCAAAGTTCTCAACAATACCTTTTATTTATATCCATATTGCGATGTTTTAGATAAATTGTGGATAATCGAAAAGAAGTGGCAACCTTACACTATTATTGTAAGGGATAACATTTTGTATAAAGAGAAAGCATTGTTTAAGGGCCTTCTCTTGGTACCCATGAATAGTAATATTTTACATCTTTTTCTAAACAAAGAATTAAATAAATATGCCGTTCAAAATAGAAGGCAACCCTATTAAAAAGATTTTTGAATTAGGGATCTTTAAAATAACTATACTTTAATATATATCATAAAATGCTTTAAAATTTTGCCGAAGAACCACCGAAAAACGCATAAATTGTGATTTTTTTATTATTGACTCAATTTTGCATCTAAAAGTTCATATCGACTGCTGAGTGGAAGATCGACCTATCTCGGCAGCCAGCTCGAAAACGCTCTATCTCAAAAAACTTTTCAAGAACGCCCTATTTCAAACTTCGTTTCAAAAATGCCCTATCTCAGCTGCCGATTCAAAAACGCCCTATATCAGCATATTTTGAAGTGAGATAGGGCGTTGTTGAACCACATTCTAAGATAGGTTGTTTTCCAATAAAATCTTGAAATAGGGCGTTCTTGAAAAGATTTTTGAGATAGGGCGTTTTCCAACTGGCTGCCGAGATAAGTCGATCTTCCACTCAGCAGTCGATATGCACAAATTTGTAGCATTTTATCATGGTTTTATTTAAAAGTGCTTCATAATACAAAAGAAAACAAATAAATATTATTATTATAACTTATTTTAATGATTAACTAAATTATTATTAATCCCGTCTTTGGAAAGATCATCAACAGAGAATAGGTAGAAACGAGGGCAAACAAGAAGAAACTTAAAGTACTTACAAAGCTGCAAACAAAAACAAGATGTGTCGACGTTGAAAGTTAGCGTATTTAAACTATCAAATACGTATGTATATATATATATTGCAAACGTAATAGTGATAGTCCAGAGTACCTAGCCGTCTACGAAGCTTCGTCACTGGCATCACAATTTGAAATGTTAAAAGTAAAAGAGAAAACTTGAAACTAAAAACTAAAAAGAAGAACGTGTTCTTAACACCATACAAGTGAAGCATTGACAGCGACTTAGTAAACGCCATTGCTAGGGGTGTGTTCAGAAATGCATCAAGCCAAAGCATAAGGTGCATTTATTTCTAAACTTTAATTGATGGAAAGAGGCTGTTGTTGCCTTGGCTTGATGCATATCTGAACGCACACGAGGTTTTCATACGATTCCACGGAAATGTTACCAATAATGCTGACGAAGTCATCGAATTTACTTTTATCAATCAATTAGTTACCTTCAGGTGTTTAAAACCTTAAAGTGTTAAGAATATGACCGAATATTGCATCTACAAAGGCACCTACCTCTTTGTCTTTTAAGCCCAACAGCAACACTTCCTCCATGAGTGTTAGACGTGTCTCTTTGGAATCGCCATCATCGATGTTGTCCTCCTGATCTTTATTACTGTTATTTAAATCGCTGTCGTCATCTGGTGTATTAGCATTCTGGCCGTATGCGCCACCTTCAGCGCCATTGTCTCGTGTTTTTACGGCGCGTCGCACCAAACCATCACTTCGATTCATTTTTTTATTAAATTGTTATTTATTGCACTCACGAAATTATCTCACTGCGTGTTATGTTTAGTTTAAACCGGAAAAATTTTAGAAGACGGACGGCAAATTCTAGAAAAAGGGGGGATAAGGGGGGGTAGAATAGGACCCCCTGATTTCAAAACTACCCCCCTTTTTTCTAGCAACCCTATAGTTCTTATATAATTTATTGTTAAAGTTTTCATATAAACGATGAATAAGATAGCAAAATAACATACAACTTAGTGCCACCAGACTGGAATTTTGAATAATAAAAGCGGATTTTTAATTCGGAAATTTTACTTAGTAGAATTATTATTTCTGTGTTGCCGAAGAAGGGGGGGCTGAACACATTT